GGGGGCTCAGCCCGGTGCTTTCGGTCTCGGAGCCCCGGCCCGGCTGGAGGGCAGCTGCGGGACCCGTGAAGGGGTGATGTCCGGCATCTCAGCCCCGAGCCCTGCTGCTAATTAAGCCGTTAACTCCCGTGACTCAGCAGGAGGCACCGCGGGGGGGGGGGGGGATGGGGGTCCGGGAGGTGTGAGGTTCCCCCAAAGTGAAGGGGGCTCCGGGTTCGCTGGTCCCGCTGTTTCCCACACGATAACCTACTCGTGAGTGACCAGTGGGATGCCTGCTTGTGGCTTTGCTTCATCGGCTCCTTTAACGGCAATTAGCAGGGAAGTTTTTTCCCTGGGCTTTTATCCAGCTGCATCAAAGCACGCTGTAAAGCCTGGGGCTTCTCGAAGGAGCCTTTACCAAAGCCCTTTGCGCTCAAAGGAGCCTGAGGCCAAGGCTGGATGTGGCCACCGGGGTCTCCCTGGAGAAAGCAGCAGGGTGCTCAGAGCAATGGGGGGGTTTCTGGCTATGGGAGGGATGGAGGGGGCTGCCCCATCACCCTTCTGCTTCTTCCTTGCAGGATGGACCTCTCTGAACCCACAGGTTCCACCGTCCTCCCCAAGCACATCCTGAACATCTGGGCCATCGTCTTGATCATCGTGGCCACCATCCTCGTCATGACGGCCCTGGTGCTCTGCCCGGCCACTGCCGTCATCATCTACCGTGTACGGACTCACCCCACGCGCAATGGCATCGTGTGAGGCAGAGGTGACGAGGGATGGACGACTTGCTGGGCAGGGCGCCACAGCCATGGGACCCCATGCTGGGGACCCCGCAGAGCCCAATGGGGCACCCTGAGACCTGGGAGAGATGGGCAGGAGCCGGGATGAGCCAGCACCCAGACACCTGCCCCTGGACCTGGCTCTTGCCGGGTGACCCCACTGCCTCCTGTTTATCCACCGAGCTCACAGGGAACGTCGGGGAGATGGTGGACCAGGCACCGGCAGGGAGATGTGTGACTTTG